TATGCAAATTTGTACTGACAAAAAGAAGATAATTTTTTTAGAATGTACTTTGAAAACTACTAGTTGCTTTTTTGCTGCTTTTGTTTTCTCTTCTTTTTGTTTCTCTCCCGGCTCTAAAAGTAGCATTTAAAACCTGACCAAACAAAATATACACCAAAAAGCACAATTTATCCAAAAAATTAATGAAAAGCAAAAACAAAAAAGAAGATTAAAGTTTTCTATATAATCTCTCTGAATTGAACCTGTTAAAAGTTAAAAAACGATGATTTCTAATTTTTTTTGTTTAAAGAGAAAAACTGTAATCCTTATGTAATGCAAACTTATAAGGAGCAGTGGATTCGTACTTATGTGATGCAAACTTATTAGAAGCTGTGAAGGGAAACCAGCAAGATTAAAGTGTAATCGAATTGTTGGATTAGATTAGCATAATGTAAGGCAAGACCACATTCACCTAGTCCTTCTCCTAATTGTCTTTTAGACTTATTGTTTGTTAAGAAAATGATAGTTGAAATTCGGGTTTTCCTAAATAGTGTCATGATCAGAGACATTATACCAATATTGTTGCCAAAAGTTTCTTTGATTATCTTTAAGCTCACAGTTCAACGAAATATTGTGCATATATCACAATACACTAATACACAGCAAGTAAGGAGTTGTGTTCAATATTCATTAAAATTATACTCACCAAAAAAACATTATAGATAGCCAATACTTTCGACGTGTTCGGGTGAAATATAGACGCAACATTCTCCTGCGAGTCGATAACATCGCCTAAACTCTTCAGTGTCTGCAATTCCTAGGAGTCTAACTCTTCTCATGTCGTTTCTTTCTACATTGTAGTAGAAAATGTAATAGGGTTGAACATCTTGTGACAAATATTTATGTGCAAAAATAATTTCATCAGCCTTGTTGGTTCCCGGGGAAAACACATCCTCACCCATCCCCAAAGAGAAGGGAAGCTTAAATTTTTGCCTGGACCATTCTTCTTTCTTCGCATCCTCAAGTATCCATAAATCAAAACTAAGTAAAGGAGCAAAAGGGTGCCTTGCAATAGAAGCTAACTTCCCTTTGTATTCTATCAATATCGATTCACCTTCCCAAAGCACAACATTCCAAGGCGCTTTGATAAAACTTATACCCTCAAGTCTAACGTCAAAACACACAATCACCGGATCTCGGGTTGGGGTCCGAGCACCATAATAGACAAACCCATTGATGCATAGTCCTTTAGTTACAGTGTAATAAGGCGGGGTGATAACCTTACCGCATGTCCATGAAGATACTCCTCCTCTTCCAAATGTTAAAACCTTGTGCTCTATACACTCATGATTCACGTAAGGAGAACTAATCCGTGTCAATGCTTTGAATTTATCAGTAACCGGATCGTATCCTAAGTATGTGCGTCCTCCGTTACATGGTAAGACTAAGGACCATATCTTAGTGACTTTTTTTCGTGCTAGGGTTACAGACAACGAACGGACCACTCTTGTTAATACCGATTAAACCATGGACAGAAGCACAGTTAGATCCTCGAGACAAGCTCAATAAAGGTATTTTCATGTCGAGTTTGGTTACCAAAGAAGAAGATTCCTCTTCCTCGTAGGAAGATGAGAAGATGAACAAACGCATGTCATGATTCTTGGCAAGTGCACCGTTACTGAAAGCGATCATAAACCGGAATCGCGTTTTGGAGGACATAGCGTAGTAAGCATTGACGAATCTTTGGCTTTTGATGAAGGAAGACCAAATGGTGGACACGCATTGAAACTTCACAAGAAATTTTGCCGGTAATTTAGTAAGTATACCAACTTCTACATCAAGTGGGATCGGATCTAACTTACTTTGTTTGCTAAAAATAATGTGTTTCTCATTGTCTTCGTAATGATCTCGCTCCTTGCGTTTCATGGCGACTAACAACGAAACCCTAATTTAGACTCGGAGAAGATGGACTCGGAAATTAGAGAGAATCAAATAGCCGTTGCAACTTCCTAGCTAGAAATACTAGATTTATACTCTCACGCGTTGCGCGAGATTTTAACTTTAAAACTTATAACAATATGAATCGTTAAATTTAATCATTTTTTTAATTTTAAAGATAAATTTATACAAACATTTATATATATGTACAAACTTATTTTACCAAACAGTATATAACATAAATCTGGTCAATAATAAAAATATTTTTTTGAAGAGTAAATCAGTAAATGTCACGTGGTGATAATAGTGAGGTGAGTTGAGAACTTTGGCGACCATCTCACGACCTTTAATCCTATAGATAGTTCTTGTCATATTAAAATCCCATGAGAGCATCTTTTTAGAAGCTTTGAAGTTAACCATTTAACCCATCATAAAAATCATTAAATGTTTATGCGAACACATGAAATGCGAATGTGCTAAGTCAATTAAGTTTAATATTTTGTTCTAAGAGCTTCAATTACTATTAACTTAAAAATGTGGTTTATATATTATATATATATATATATTCATAAGTATATGATCAATAATTTTATAACTTTGCATTTGTTATTACAAATATATTATTTCTATATTTTTCTTGAATAATAATATAATTCCTATATAATTAATGTTGTTTCAATTTAATATTGTTTTATAGTATTTTCATGACAAATACTTTAATATACATTTCCAGTCATATAAACTTAATTTATAAAGAAATCTTGTTTCCTACGACTTGTTAAGATTCTTTTAGCTATGTTTTCTTCTTTTTTCTTTATTTTTAATAACTTGTTTATTTAATAATATTTTAAAATTTGAATATCATGTTTATTGAAGTACAAATATAAATTTTGAAGTTAAATTTACTTTATTCTTGGTTATGTATATATTGCAAAGAGAATTACAATATCAAAATAAATATTAAATTATTTTGAAATTATTAATTATACTTATTTCCATTTTTTATTTTATTTAAATATTTTATAATTATAAGTAACAATAAACATGAAATAAATGGACATTTATAATAGATTTAAATGTAAAAAAAATTGCTTAGGTGGACACCTTAGGAAGAGAGAAAACTTTGCTATTATATATATAGATATACTCAACGATTGGGCCTGATTGGGCTAGCTAGATTAATTAACTAACTTGCAAAATTAAAAAGAAAAGGAAAGGACGACAAGAGATGAGTTTTAAGGTTATCTCAAACGAACGGTTGAGATTCGACGAATCTTATTTTCTTCTATCGAAATATAAATAAACTTATTTAAATAAAATCTTATAAAAAATCGAATTTCAAAATAGATCAGAAAAATAAACCCTCAGTATCAAACCAATTTGTTAGGTATCTAAAAATCAACA